GTGCGGACCCTGCAGTGGAGCCACACCCGGCCCCGTGGGAGCCGCCCGAGTCCCCAGGGTTCCGTGCGCCCCGCCGCTGCCTCCGAACACGAGGCTCAAAGTGACACCCGGGTCCCCAACCGTCCGCGTCTGGACCGGAGGCCTCTGGGCCCCCAGGTTTCTTTCCTTAAAATCACGTGTAAGGGGCGGGGGGGGGGGGGGGCTTGTGGCTCAGGAGCAGAGCATCGACCTGTGAACCAGGAGCTCAGGGTTCGATTCCCCGTCAGGGCACAGGCCCGGGTTGTGGGCTCCGTCCCCAGTGGGGGGCGTGCGGGAGGCAGCCGGTCCGTGACTCTCATCATGGATGTTTCTATTTCTCGCTCCCTCTCCCTGCCTCTCTCTACAAAAATCAAATACGTATTTTTTTCAATGCTATGCGATGCTATAATAAGTTTTTTTTAAAAAAATGTGTGCAAGTGACAGGTTTCTAAAACATTGGCAACTAAACGCGAATAGTCCCGGGAGCAATGATGTCCTTATTCAAATCCCTAACCTCCGCTTCTCCAACCGGACATGGCTGTCTGCCAGCGGGGTCACGTCCTCAGGCAGAGACACGGGCAACGTCCTCCGGAAAATTAACATTCACCGGTGCTCGGGGATCCCTGGCAGCATCCACCAGACGGTCTTTTCTTTAAAAATGTTTTCCGCTTGCAGTTTACATCCCACGTCGCTTTGCTGTCGCTCAGGCGGACGGCGTCGCGTTGGACAATTGTCTATTTTACAAAGTGGTCCCCCCCCCCCTCCGGTACTTCCAGCTCCCACCTGGCACCAACCAGCCAGGGACGGAGCCTGCCACCGAGTGCGAGCCCCTGACCGGACTCCCACCCAGGACCCTTCAGTCCTTGGGCCGGCGGCTCTAACCACTGAGCCCCGGGCAGGGCCAGGTATCTTATGTCTTAATGTGAGAAAAGAAAACGCATCCGTCCTGTGAGCTGCTGTTCAGGGCCTCTCAGCCGTCACACTCGTTCACAAACGCCTCCGTCCGTGTCTCTAGAAGATAAGAATTCTCCCCCCAAATATACTTAGAACTTCTTACCTTGACCCTGGACGTAGATCTTGCCCTTCGCCTGTGGCTTTTGAAAGGAGGGAGGAAAAAAAGGAAAACAAGTACATTCATGGTCCATGACAACAGCTTTTTAGAAATGAGACGAAGGCCATAAAAACAACGAAATCCCCTTGGAAACAGGGCGGGGCAGCATGGGGGATGCTCGCGGGGCAGCTCCTCACGCAGCTCCTCACGCCAGCAAAGAGCTGCCCAAGGGCGGGAGAGCCCGCTCAACACAGCGCCCTCGGGAGGCAGCCCGGGGGGAGTCCCTGCGATGAGGCGGGACAGGAGTCTGAGCTTCGTGGTGACTGGGTCAGCGGGGAAGCTACCGCAGCTCCAACCAGCATGAGCCAGCGACAGAGCACATGGTGCGTGTCCTGCGCTGAAGCGGGGGGGGGGGGGGGGTGCGTTGGGGGAAACGTGGTTTGGGGGTGCACATCCTTGAACAGAAAGAATATACTCCCGGAACTCTGGGAAAAAGAAGGGAGGAGATGGAGATGGAGGAGGAGATGAAGGAGGAGATGGAGATGAAGGAGGAGGAGGAAGAGGAAGAGGAGGGGAGGGAAGAGGAGGAGTAGGAGGGGGAGATGGAGGAGGAGATGGAGGAGTAGGAGGAAGAGGATGAGGAGGAGAGGAGGAGGAGGAGGAGGAGGAGGAGGAGATGGAAGAGGAGAACACAATGTGTTGGGACAGAAAACAGGCTCCAGGGCCGAGTCTCCCAGGAGGGAGGGTGTTGAGGGCGCCGTGAGGACCACCCGAAAGCCCGGGGACTCAGGAGAGGGCGGCGCTTGCAGGAAGGACCCAGAGGCTGACACCGGAGACACTGCTCTTCCCCGCGCTCCCGGGAACGCCCAAACCACCGGGGAGAGACTCCGCTTCCGGGTCCTGCGGGCGCAGTGGCCCAGACCCTTTAAGATCCAGGTCAGAGCGCTGGCCGGTCTGGCTCAGTGGGTAGACCACCAGCTTGCGGACCAAAGCGCCCTGGTGGGGTGCGTGCAGGAGGCGGCCCATCCATGCGTCTCTCTAAAAGCGACATCTCTCTCTGTCTCTCCCCCTCCCCTCCCCTCCCCTCGCTCTAAAAATCCACGGGAAAATATCCTCTGACTCCCTCCCTCCTCCGATTCTGCAACGTCCCCGGCACAACCGACATCACAGCACGAAACGCCCGGACACGCACCCACTGCAGGCCCGCGGCCGCCCTCATGGACTCGGTGAAAGCCACGGCGAACCTGGGGAGAGAACGGAGAGGAGGCCGTCAGGGAAGACTCCGCGAACATCCTGAGCAGCCCCGGCGACGGGCTGTGAGCCGTGGCAGGAAGCCCAGCCGAGGGCGCAATCCGTCCACTCTCGCCTCTGCTCGCGTCGCAAACACTGGAACCTGCGAGGAATGAACGCACGAGGCTCAAACCTTCCCAAGTCTTTTTTTTAAAGTGTGTGTTTCTATTGATTTCAGAGAGGAAGGGAGAGGGAGAGAGAGAGAGAGAAACATCCATGAGAGAGAAGCATGGATCGGCTGCCTCCTGCAGCCCCACACTGGGGATGGAGCCCGCAACCCGGGCCTGTGCCCTGACCGGGAATCGAACCCGGGACCTTTCGGTCTGCAGGCCAGTGCTCTATCCACTGAGCCACACCAGCCAGGACCAACACTGATGGGTGTTGAGTGACAGTCTTTCGGGGGCAGGGCCAGGGACGGATGAGCCGGGAGCCCCGAGGGTGCTGGGCAATAAGAAGGAGCTGAGAGAGTGGCCACGTGGGAGGACACAGCGTGGACTCCGAGCTTCTCCAGTGGCCACGGCGGGGACCACCTGAGCCGAAACGCAGAGCCATCAGTCACCGGGAGGCAGCCCATGAGGTGAGATGACGGACACACCGCGGGCCGTGCTGGCAGCAATCACGGAACCAGGCAGTGGGGTCCCACGGACAGCGCCCCCGGGAGCGGAATCCTGATGAGTGAGTGCAGGCGCGAGGGGAGCAGCTCATGGGCAGGAGGCCAGCGCGGGAATAACACCGAGGGCTGATCCTCCCCAAGAGGGGACCGGAGGGGGCGGGTCTCTTTCCTGCAGGGGCACCTGCTCCCTGCTGTGTTTTCAGAGTGAGGAAGGGAGAGGGAGAGAGAGATAGAAATATCAACCAAGTCATGCCCTGACCAGTTTGGCTCAGTGGATAGAGCGTCGGCCTGCGGATTGAAGGGTCCCAGGTTTGATTCCGGTCAAGGGCATGTACCTTGGTTGCGGGCACATCCCCGGTGGGGGGTGTGCAGGAGGCGGCTGATCAATGTTCCTCTCTTATCGATGTTTCTCTCTATCCCTCTCCCTTCCTCGCTGTAAAAAAATCAATAAAATATATTTAAAAAAAGAAAAAAGAAATATCAACGAAGTCATTGATCAGCTGCCTCCTGCATGCACCCTACTGGGGATCGAGCCCACAGCGTCGGCCTGTGCCCTCACGGGAATCAAACCCTGACCTCCTGGTTCACAGGTCGACGCTCAACCACGGAGCCACCCGGCCGGGCCCAGACACCCTTACAAGCGGGTTCCCAGCCTTCGGCGCAGAGGGGTGAGGACACGGAAAGTCACCGCTTTCTTACGGGAAATTCAGACCCGGGGAGAACGCTGCCGGGTGGAAACCCACGGCCTCACTCTGATCGGTGGCCTCGGAAGCCCTGGTGCCCAAAACCACAGGGAACGGCCACAGGCCACGGCTGCGACCTGCCGACAGGAGGCCCGCGCGGGGTCCCTGCCGCTGCTGCACACTCCCAGCGGCGGGCTGTTTCCGGCCCGGACTGCCCTCCGCTCGTTTGCTTGGCAAGACCACCTTTTCCCGCCAGGAGCCCTCACCGGACGGTTCCACGCCTTTAAACACTCCCCGTGTGAATGCAGTGTCATGACCACACACTCACTACAGAATCATGCTTTCGAGGCAAAAACCTCAGAGGCTGAGCGTAGGCCTAGGAACCAGGAGGTCACGGTTCTACGGTTCGATTCCTGGTCAGGGCACAGGCCCGGGATGCGGGCTCCATTCCCAGTGTGGGGCGTGCAGGAGGCAGCCGATCCACAGTTCTCTCTCATCATGGATGCTTCTCTCTCCCTCTCCCTTCCTCTCTGACATCAATACAAATATATTTTGTAAAAAAGTGTCAAATGAAAGATAGAGGCGGCTTCATAGAGAAGATGTACCCCCCCACCCCCCTAGCCTATCGGCTTCCCCGTCTCCGTGCCTCCACCAGCTCCACCCAACGGGGGGCACGCACCTGGCTTCCTCCAGGACCTTCCCCATCACCAGGTGCTTGTCTCCCTGGTGCACGTCTTCATTCAGGTCCGTGCCGCCGAAGATCACCCCGAAGGGGATGCCGTGGCCTGCGGAGGAGGACAGGTGAGGAGGGGGCGCAGCTGGGCACCAGCCCTCCCCACCCCGGCCCGAGGCAACGACCAGAAACCCAGGTTCCTGGAACACGGGCCCGGAGTCGTGGTTAGTTTTATCTTTATTTTATTTTTTAAAATATATTTTTATTGGTTTCAGAGAGGAAGGGAGAGGGAGAGAGAGAGAAGTATCAACGATGAGAATCACGGATCGGCTGCCTCCTGCACGCCCCCCACTGGGGATGGAGCCCACAACCCGGGCCTGTGCCCTGACTGGGAATCGAACCCGGGACCTCCCAGTTTGTAGGTCGATGCGCAACCTCTGAGGCAGGCCGCCGGGCTGTGTCGTGTGTGCTGCTGGACAATGTGGGTGCTCGGGGCTGGGGAGGGGCTCACCCTGCAGCAGCTGGCCCGCCCGGCAGAGGTGCAGCGCCAGGGCCGCCTGCACGGCCTCCACCCGGATGAGGTGGGCGACGTCCGCGGGGCCGGCGAAGTCCGAGGCGTCCTTCAGGAGGCATACGTGGCCCTCGGCTTCCAGGTGGTCCCTGTGGAGACGGGGACACGGAGAGAAAGATGGGGGAAGAGGGACACGCCCAGGTTGCTGCCGGGATTGAGATTTCAAATCAGCCCAGCCAGCGGGGCTCAGGGGCTGAGCATTGGCCTGTGAACCAGGGGGTCAGGGCTCCATTCGGGGTCAGGGCTCCATTCCAGGTCAGGGCACAGGCCCAGATTTCGGGCTCCATCCCAGTGGGGCGCGTGCAGGAGGCAGCCGATTCGTGATTCTCTCATCATGGATGTTTCTCTCTCTCCCTCTCCCCTCTTCTAGGACAGCGGTTCTCAACCTGTGGGTCGTGACCCCTTTGGGGGTCGAACGACCCTTTCACAGGGGTCGCCTAAGACCATTGGTAAACACATCTATAATTACATATTGTTTTTGTGATTAATCACTATGCTTTAATGATGTTCAATTGTAACAATGAAATTGGGGGTCACCACAACATGAGGGGCTGTATGAAAGGGTCGTGGAAATTAGGCAGGTTGAGAACCACTAGTCTAGGAGATCATAAAATATATTAAAAAGAAAGAAAACTGGGAAACTTCCTCAGGCAATTGCAGAGGGATCCACCGCCTCAGGGGCCGGAGCTGGGGGGGGAGGAGCTGGGGGAGGTGGGCGGGCTCCTTCGCTGCCACCAGGTCCTCCGGCTCCTCCCCCCTCCCTCCCGCTGTTTCCTCAGGGCTTGTTTGCTCTCCGTTATCTGAAGTACTTCCACTCCGATAAGAACACTTTCGGACACCGTGTCCCAGCTGGTGACAGCGCGGAGCCCAGCTCCCAGCCACGTGGCCCCGCCTTAATCCTGATGCCAACAGGCTCGCCCGGGGGCTGAGGGGCCCCCAGGACTCCGGACACGATGGCAGAGCCCGAACCGCTTCCCTTGGCTGAGTCCCACCCTCCGCCCCTAGGAGCTTGCAGACCAGAGTCCAGGAGCCCTGGCACCTGGGTGGCGTCTGGCAGTGCCGCTTGGAGTAGGGGCAGCGGCTGGCGAGCTCCTGGCTTAGGGCAGGGGCAGCAGCTGGCGAGCTCCTGGCTTAGGGCAGGGGCAGTGCCTGGCATGGCTCAGGGGTTGAGCGTCGACCTCTGAACCAGGTCGCGGTTTGATACCCTGTCTGTGGGCTCCATCCCCAGTAGGGGGCATGCAGGAGGCAGCCAATCGGTGATTCTCTCTCATCATTGATGTTTCTCTCTCTCTCTCCCTCTCCCCCTTCCTCTCTGAAATCAATAAAAAGTGTGTCTATATAAAGAAATTGGACAGGGGATGGAAAACCTCTCCTTGAAATGGCCAGGGAGTAAATATCTTTGGGTCTGTGGACAGAGGGCCCTGTCCCCCTCTGCTGTCGGGGCAATGAGGGGCGGGTGCTGCTCCTCCGGACTCACATCCACGTGTGTGTGTGTGTGTGTGTGTGTGTGTGTGTAATTTGCATAGGTATACGTTTCATTCATTCACCCTAGAATGACATGTGCCTTGGCCAGAATTGAACCGGGGCCCTTTGGTCCGCAAGCCCACGCTCTGCCCACTGAGCCAGACGGCCAGGGCCTGTGGTCATTGATGATCTGAGGGGAGAGGTCCCTGCCCCCGACGGAACAGTCAGGTTTCACACGTTTTGAACACTCTGGGGCGTGCCGCGCGGAAACCACTGCCGTGGACCGGACGCCACGACCTGGCTGCCCGGGCTCCTGGGAGGAGGGTCTGTCCGGGACCCTGAGGCCGGGCCCTGGGTCAGCACCAGCCAGGCTCCCTCTGACGCCATGTCCACCCCTTCGCCGGGGCGCTGACGCCGCTGTGTGCGTGTCCCTGTGACACCCAGGACTCAGCCTGTCAGATGAACTCCGCCCCCTGGCCTCTGACCTTGTTTTGTAACTCACTAGGCTGCTTTTTTTTTTTCTTTTTAAAACATATTTTTATTGATTTCAGAGAGGAAGGGAGAGGGACAGAGAGCGAGACAGAGAGAGAGAGAGATACATCCATGATGAAAGAGAATCGTGGATCGGCTGCCTCCTGCACCCCCCTCCCCTCCCAACACACACATTGGGGATCAAGCCCACAACCCAGGCATGTGCTCTTGGCCGGGATGGAACCCTGACCTCCTGGTTCATAGGTCAACGCTCAGCCCCAGGCGCACAGGCCAGACGTGACCATTTTAATGAGGGGGAGGAAGACCCTCAGCAGGAAATAAACTGAGGAATTTCAAGGAGCAAGTCCATTTGTTAAAAAAAAAAGAAAAAGAAAGGGCTTCTATTGAGTCAGGCAGCTGTCAGCTCCCTCGCTGTCCCCGGGGCTCAGCATGTAAAACAGGGTAATTGCAGACAAAGTCAGTGTCGGAAGATAAGGGCTCCGCTCACCACCCTGCTGCTCCCCTGAAATTAATGTAAAATTGAATGTCAACTGTAATTGAAAAAAAAATTTTTTTTAATTTAAAACTAAGTTTAAAAAAAGGAAGATAGCCCTGGCCGGTGTGGCTCAGTGAACAGAGCGTCGGCTTGTGGACCAAACGGTCCCGGGTTCGATTCCGGTCCAGGGCATGTCCCTGGGTTGCAGGCTCTGGGCCCCAGCTGGGGCTCGTGCAGGAGGCAACCCATGGATGTGTCCCCCTCACATCGATGGTTCTCCCCGTCTCCCCCTCTCCCTTCTGTTCTCCCTAAAAGTCAATGCAAACACATCCTCAGTTGAGGCTGAACAACAACAGAAGGTGAAGACAGCAGCGAGGAGGGCGGGGAAGGCGGGGACGCTACAGGCGGGGAGGAGGGAGGGGCCCCTTGGCGAGCAGGACGCGGGCCAGGGGTACAGAGCGCACCCCAAGGTCCGGGAGGTATCCGCCTCGCTGAGCCCCTCCCCCTCCCCTCGCAGCTTCGGGGGGTCCCTCCCGCACACCCCGGATTCTGCGCAAACGCCGCGCCGGTGGAGGCCTCCCCGGCGTCCTGCCCGACATGGCACCTGCGCACGCGCGCGCCGGGACCCTCTCGGGTTACGCGCGTCTGCGTCCCGGTCCGCGTGTTGCCACGGTCCCTCCGGTCTCCACGGAGCCCGACCTGGCTTCCCGTCGCTGGATCCCCGCCCCGGGCGCTCCCGATACACAGACCCCCTCGCAGGGGAGCCACGCGCAGGCCGCGTGGGGTCCGCGCGAGCAGGCGGTGCGCGTCCCGGCCCCCCTGCCCAGGCCGGTCCCCGAGGGTCCCCGCGCCAGCCCGAGCGGCCGGACCAGAGCCGGACCTGGGCGGGGACCTGGGCCGCGCGCCCCTCGCCATCGCTGCGCGCCCCCGCAGGCCCCGCCGGCCGGCCGTTGGCGCGCGCGGATCGCGGGGGCCGGAGCGAGAGCCGGGCGCCCGCCACCCCCGCCCGCCCCGCCCCGGTCCCGCCCCGGCCGCTCAGCGACGCCGGGCGCCCGCACCTACCGCACCCGCTGCGCCGTGACCGCGTTGCCCGTGTGCGGCCGCAGCACCGCCAGGAACAGGAGCCGCATGCTGCCGCCGCCGCCGCCGGTCCATCGACTTCCCCGCGGGGACCGGGCCCAGGGCGGGGCGGGAAGCTCACCGGGCGGCGCCGCGGGGCTCGGTGAGTCCCGCCCGAGGCTCCCGAGGCCGCGCCCGCACTCGCCGGTTTCAGCGCCGGGGTGTCCGTGCGCGCGGGGCCGCGAGGCGGGGGCGGGGGGGCGCTGGAAGGGGGGGCAGGGGAACCACAAGGAACCCTGGGGGCCCCCACGGGCTCCGAGGCGACCAGCTGTGGCTGCTCCCGCGGGGAAGAGGCTCCACCGGGGAGGCCGGGTCCTTTCCCACGGAGACCAGGGCCGGCCACGCCCCTCCTCCCTGCGGCGGGGGGGGGGGGGGGGGCCACATACACACCGGGACCTGGAGTGGGTGGGCGAGTCCCCATCTCTGTGGCTCAGTCCCAGGGGTGACCGGTGTCCACTCCCAGGGGACCAGCACCAGGGGCGCTGAGATCGCTTTTCTTGAAACAGTTTCAGCCCCGTGGCTGGCGTGGCCCGGGGCTGAGGGCCCACCTAGGAAGCGGGAGGTCATGGTTCCATTCAGGCCGAGGGCACAGGCGCGGGTGGGGGCTCCATCCCCAGGGGGGCTGCGGGGGGCAGGCCATCCATGACTCTCTCCTCGTTGACGTCTCTCCCTCTCCCTTCCTCGGAAACCCTTAGAAATAGAATAAAAATACACGTAGAGCAAAGCTCTCTTCCCCGTGACCACGGGTCCCAGCCCGGGAGGCGCTGGGGCGAAGCGACCTCAGATCCACGCTCCCCTCCTTTTCTCTCCCTCCGGCCTGTGGCCTCCGAGTGAGGCGTCTGCTTCTGTTTCTATCAGAGGTTTCGGTCTGTGGGCCACCCCTCCCTGCGGGGGGAGAGCTGCAGATGCCACGTTTGTGTGTGTGTGTGTGGGTGGGTGGGTGGGGACGGGGGGGCCCCGCTATCTGCTCAAAGAAAAGGTCTGTACAGAGCTGTGGTTTCCAAATCCTGGCTCTCACTCACGGCCCTTGAGAGCAACCAAATATAAAAAAAAATTAAACTAATTAAAAAAACAACCCGTGGGTGTGAAAGGAACGAGTCCTTCTCAGGTTGCGTCAGGAGGAGGCGTCCAGACCCGGGGGACTTTCTGGCTCTGGGCAGGAGCCGGGGCTCTGATGTCCTCCTGTCCTGAGGGCTGGGCGGCCAGTTCCCCCAAAGACGGTCCTCCTCACCCCCAGGCCGGCGTCTCTAGGCGGCCAGACGGAGGGAAGGTGTCCTAACGGCTCCGGAAAGCCCTGCACAGAAGCCAGGCTTCCTCTCGTCAATTGTTAACTTACTTTATTGCGTAACCGGTCTGTTCAGCACCGACAGTGAACGGGACGGAGCTCAGAAAGGACACGGAACCCACTGCCCCGAGATACGGCGCTGGGAAGTCTTGATGTCAGGTTTCCCGACTTCACGCGTCGCCGAGCTCCCGGTGCTCACCGCGGGCGGCCCTGTCCCAGGCACCCGGCAGCGTCCCACCAGCAAGACGGGGTGCGCTCCCCGCTACAGGGGGGACGCAGAGGCCCGGGAGGCGGTGTGAACTCTTCACCCTGCTTCTGTAACTGCCGCATGGACACGGGGTTTTTTGTTGATTTTCATTCTGTGGGGTTTGTGGTTGTCGTTACAAAATAGGAAATATATATATATATTTATATATATATATATATAAATTGGCTCTTTTTTCACTTAATCATTGTGGTGGGAAAGCGCTAACCCGCTCCCCTTGGGGCCTGCCTCCTGCTGGATGCCTTCTCCCTTATTGAATGAAACATGCATCCCTCACATCCCTCAATGCTGGGAAGGGCATTTGCAGAGGTGATTACATTCCCAGATGAGTTGCCCTTAAGGCAGGATGAGTCTCACCCAATAAAATGGTCCCTTTCAAGGGACCTGCATTTCCTGATGTCAAAGCGTGGAAGGGATTGGATGTCAGGGAGAGTCCCTGCTGGTGGCTTTGGGGATGACGGGGCTCCTTGGAAAGGACGCTGAAGGATCCAAAGGCTGGGGGCAGCCCCCCCCCCCCACCACCACCGCCCCGGGTTGACAGCCAGCAGGTAATGGGCACCTCAAACCCTCACCTTAAAAAAACCAGACTCCCCAAAACCGCAGGGGCTGGAAGGAGCCCGTGTGCGATCTCCGTTTTGCAAGACCCTGAGCAGAGAACCGGATGTGATGTGCCATGCCCACCCGGGGCCCGCAGACCTGAGAGCTGATTTATGGGTGTTGCGCGAGTTCCTGGGGCTGTAATCTGTTACACAGCAGAGGAAACGAATGGAGCAATCCATCAGCCAGGCGTTTCCAGCCCAGAACCCTGCTCCTGCAGCCCGTCTGAATAGCTACATAGCGTCCACCCGATGTAATCAATGCCTTCTAATTGCACAAGGTTGCTGTTTGCAGGCGTTTTGCTACTTTAAGCAACACCGTAATGAACGTTTTGTAGCCAAGTCTCTGCGGGCCCTGAGATTCCAGGAAGTGGAACTGCGCCAAGTTCAGGCCAGTGACTAATTGCCCTGCAAGAAAACTACGCGCAGGGCGTGCTTCTCACTGAAGCATTTCCCAGAACACGGTCCCCGCTGGGAGGTTTTAGTTCAAGTGACAACCACGTCCCCGCTCTTTTACATTCTTGCTGGTGTTTTCACGAGGGGCGGGCACGGCACTGGTCCTTTTTCTGTTCTCCGTGCACACACGTGCATGTATGTGCTTGTCGGAGCTGGGACTTTTCCGGTTGCCTTCATCGGGAAGAGGATTTACGGGCTCACCAATGAAATGTGCAGGAATGAAAAAAAGCCGTCATAACCGCGGCCTAGGAAGGTCACCCAGAAGCCAGGTCTCTCTCCTCACCTCCACCTTCGGGGTCGCTTCTCTCTGGGGTTTCACGCGACGGGCCCCGGCAATGCCAGGCTTCTCGCCATAGAAGGACAGATCCAGCGGAGAGAGAAATCAGTTCTTCTCCTGGTCGCGCCAGTTAAGTCAGGGACCAACCTGGGTCACATGCCCATCTTTGAGCCAATCGCTGTAAACCTGCGAAGTGGATGGGCCTAGGTCAGTGGTCGGCAAACTCATTCGTCAGCAGAGCCAAATATCAACAGTACGACGATTGAAATTTCTTTTGAGAGCCAAATTTTTTCAACTTAAACTATATAGGCAGGTACATTGTTATTAACTTAATTAGGGTCCTCCTAAGGCTTAGGAAGAGCCACACTCAAGGGGCCAAAGAGCCGCAGTTTGCCGACCACTGGCCTAGGTCACCTGGGGGGCTCCTGGCCCCGGGGACAGGGCAGCAGAAACTCCCGGGGCTGCTCCCCAAGCAGGGCAGGCGCCTGGGAGCACGAGGGACCGCCACCCCCGACAACCGCACATGCACTTGGACAGTTTTACTTCCTGAATGTTTATCCAATGCGTCTCATACGTTTCCCAAAGAACTCTCTACAAATAAGGACGTTAACTTTGTCGTATGTATTTCAGACATTTTTTCCAGTTTGCTGTCCACAGAAATTGTTTTGCACAGAGTAGCTGCGAGTCTGTATGAAATCAAATCAACACACTTCTCCTTGAGGGCTTCCGGGTGAGGCTTGGACATGCATCCCCCTCAGGAGGCCTCGTATTTGCCATCATTTCCTCTCAGTGCTCGTACAGACGCCGACTCCAGTGAGGTTCCTGTGTCCCCCGTTCTTCCCCGCGGACTGGAAGTGCCGTTATCACCATACGCTGATTCGTATGATGTTTGGCCTCCCATTCTTTTCCTTGGATCTTTTCTGTACGGCCTGCCCGCAAAACCCAATACATTTATAACCACCGGTTGTCATTCCATGTGGATTCAGATTCCTGTAAGGAATTGTGAAAGTGGTCATTCAGATAGAACGGTCAGGCCCGGCCGGTGTGGCTCAGTGGTTGAGCATCCAGCCATGAACCAGGAGGTCACGGTTCCATTCCTGGTCAGGGCACATGCCTGGGTTTCAGGCTTGATACTCAATGGGGAGGCGGGAGGGGGGGGGGGCGGGGGGGGGTGCAGGAGGCAGCCGATTGATGTCTCTCCCTCTCCCTTCCTCTCTCAGAAATCAATAAAGACGTTAAGAGAAAATAGCTGTTAGGTGTGGTCCCATATCCGTGAACAGGAACAGCTGCCCTTCTTCAAGTCCACCCCCTCCCCCTCCACCCCCTCCCTCTTCCCTTTCTATGGGCGAATGCCCGCTTTCTGCAGACCCAGGGGGCAAAGGGCCCAGAAGAGGGTGCTGTTCACCAGGCCAAATAAGAGCTTGAGAAAAGGGCAAGTCCAAACGGCTGTCGTCCCAGCCACAGGTTTCACATCCCCCGCGAAACCGAAACTCGAGCTGCTCTGCGAGCCGGGCTCACTCACAGGAAGGCAGGCTGGCGGGGCTGTGGTCTGGGCCCAGGAATGCCAGGCGCCACGGCATCAGCTGCTCCGTCCTCACTCTCCCTCCACCTCGGCGACCTGCAGCCAGGGAGGCGTGTTGCAACAGGGACGCCTTGAAAGAGACAGAACTTATGCCTGAGCCGGTTTGCTCTGGGAGAGAGGACCCGCCTGCAGACTGAAGGGGCCTGGTTTGCGGGTTGTGGACTCAATCCCCAGCGTGGGGCCTGCAGGAGGCGGCCAATGATCCTCTCTCATCACGGATGTTTCTGTGTCTCTCTCCCTCTCCCTTCCTCTCTGAAAGGAATGAAAATATTTTTTAAAAAATAGAACATACGACGTCTCCACCCCTGAACCGTCACGGCTCGATGGCAGGGCCTGTGACGGCCTCACAGCGGATGCCGTGCGCCCCGGCCTGGCGCACACAGAGGAGCCTGGGGGGGAACTGGGAGCCGGCGGAGCAGAAGCGTGGGCCGCGGTGCAGGTGCCCAGCGGTCACGGCCAGGGCAGCGGGCCGGGCGCGGCTGTCTGTTGACTGAGCGGGTGGGCGACGGCGGGAAGACGCGGGTCCGTGGCCCATGGCGGCGGCTGGCAGGGCGGCGTTTAGAGGAAACGGAGAGAGAACAGGCAGATGGGGCTGCGGGGGGAGGGAGAGGCGCAGCTGTGGAAGGAGAAGTGGAAGCGGCGCGGACGATGTCAGACATCGACATCGGCGGCCCCCGAGACATCCTTGGTCACGAAAGATGTCAGACATCGGCGGCCCCGAAATGGGCTCGGTCTCGGATGGCTTCCGACCTCACGCTGTCGCCTTCTCTGATCTCGGCACTGAGCAGGGGCCGGGCCGGGGGCCGGGTGGTGACGGACAAGGAAGGGCCCTGCCAGGGTGTCAGAGCGAACGTTTCCGACTTCAGTTGGCACGTGTGCCCTGGCAGCGAAGTCCGGCCCAGAGAGCTCCCCGGGAAGAGGCTCCCGCCAGGCTCTGCTCTGGAGGCACTGCCTGGCCTTCGGACACCTGCCCTGCGAGGGAGGCCATTTCTTTATTATTTAAAAAACACACACACTTTTATTGATTTCAGAGAGGGAAGAAGAGGGAGAGAGAGAGAGAGAGAGACATCAACGATGAGAATCGTGGACCGGCTGCCTCCTGCACGCCCCCCACTGGGGATCGAGCCCGCCACCCGGGCCTGTGCCCCGACCGGGGATGAACCCTGACCTCCCGGTTCCCAGGCCGATGCTCAAGCCCTGAGCCCCGCCGGCCGGGCTCCGGGGACATTTCTGGTGACAACTCAGGAGCTGGGGTGGAGGCGGCACCCAGCGGAGAGCAGAGGCCAGAGGGGCGCTCACCTGGCACCCGGCGCAGCGCTCCCGGCCCCGTGGTATCTGCTCTCCCGGCAGCACCCCGACCCCGGGCAGGAGCGCCAGCAGGGGGCGCGGGGCGCAGGCCCGGCCTTGCCACCCGGACCTGCAAGGCCGACGCACCCCCGGACCGCCGCGCGCAGCCTGGGCTCCCCCCCGCGGGGCTCCGGAACCGCCAGCTCAGCGGTCGCTCGCAAAGCCCGGGGTCCCCGGTGCCGCCTCCGCGCCGCGGTCCCACCGGCGGCGGAAGTGGGGGCTCCGCTCGGAAAAACTTCCTGGGCGGTACCGGAAGTTCCCGGCGGGCTGAGCGGCGGCGAGTCCGCCCAATGAGAACGCTCGAGGGGCGGGCCCAGGCGCCTGGGGAAAGCTGGTATCGCGAGAAGGGCGCGGGCGGGGCCGGGCCAGGCAGCGGAGAGGAGCCGGGGAGCGGGCGGGCGAGCGGGTGGGCGCATGGAGGGCGCGGACGGGCGCGCGGAGGAGCGGGCGCCGCTGCTGGGCGCGCGGCGGGCGGCCTTCGCGGGCCGGCGGCTGGCGTGCGCCGCGGTGCTGCTGACGGAGCTGCTGGAGCGCGCCGCCTTCTACGGCGTCACGGCCAACCTGGTGCTGTTCCTGAACGGCCCGCGCTTCGCCTGGGAGGGCGCGCAGGCCAGCCAGGCGCTGCTGCTCTTCATGGGCCTCACCTACCTGGTGTCGCCCTTCGGCGGCTGGCTCGCCGACGCGCGGCTCGGCCGGGCGCGCGCCATCCTCCTCAGCCTGGCGCTCTACCTGCTCGGCATGCTGGCCTTCCCGCTGCTGGCCGCGCCCGCCACGCGCGCCGCGCTCTGCGGGGCCCCGCACCCCACGCGCGGCCGCAACTGCTCGGCGCCGTCCTGCGCCGACGCGCCCGCCCGCTACTGCGCGCCCGCCGCGCTCGGGGCGCTCGTGGTCGTGGGCCTGGGCGTGGGCGCCGTCAAGGCCAACATCACGCCCTTCGGCGCCGACCAGGTGAGCTCAGGTGCACGCCGGCCGGCGGGGGTGGGGGCGAGGGTGACACCTGGGCCGGCAGAGGCCGTGGAGGCGGGGCCTGGGGAGGGGTCCGCACGGGGCGGGGCTCCGGGTGGGTGGCCAAGGGGGGCTGCACGGAGGGGGCGCCTCCTTTCTGCAGCCGGGCCCTTGGCGGGGGCGCCTGCGGGGCATCCTTGGAGCCTTCCAGACGCGACCTCAGCAAGTGCAAAGGCCCTGGAGTTTGGGCCTGGTTGCCGCTGCGGCGGCGGTGGTCAGTGTATCAGTCACCGCGTCTTCCTCCCAAAGTTATATCTACACGGTTTCGGATCAGATGCGTTAGGAAGGAGAGCGGGGAGGGAGGTGGCGGGCGGCCCGCGCTGCACGGCTCGGGACGGGGTTTGAGGTCCGTGTTCCGTGCGGCGGGAGGCGCGTGTGGGTTTCCATCGGCGAGTGGTCGGATCTGATTGCGTTTCCGAAAGACCGGGCCCCTGCCGCCTGCCAGCCAAATCTGGGCGACTTCCCGTTTTTGGAGCCGAGAATAAGACTGGGTCTCGGGCTTTTAGGGGGAAGGAAGGAAGGAAAACAAAAAACATGTTTCGTGAGAGTGAAAGTGATATGAAATTCCGACTCGGTCTCCACGGCGGAGGCCGGAACAGCCCTGCCTGGCCAGCTGCGCCCGGGCCTCTCCCAGCCGAGGAGCGGAATGAGAAGTTGCGACCAGACGGAAGGCCCCTCAAAACTTAAAATGTCCCCGCCCGCCCCCTCTCGGGCAGAGCTGCAGACCTCTGGGGTGGAGACCAGGTTGTATGGGGCGTGACGCCAGCAGGAAGCTGGGTACAAGAGGCTGTTCTTTAAACTTTTCTGTCCGTTCAGACGTTTTTTTAAATAGAAAGTTAAGGAGACATTGATGAACGGATGCGCGGATAAAGCAGACGTGGCCCGTCCACGTGGTGGAATATTACACAGCCGTGAACAGGAAGGGAGCCCCGAGGCCTGCCGCCAGGTGGACGGACCGGGAGACCAGGATGCTGAGTGAGAGAAGCCGGACCCAGAGCCCACAGGAGACCTGGTTCACCCTCTTGTGTGACATGCCCAGAGCAGGCCGGCTGCAAAGACTAGAAGTGGACTCGTGGTCGCCAGGGGCCAGGAGAGGGGGCCTGGGGATGGCCGGTGGCGGCAGAGGAACTCGGGGTCCTCGGTGGTGGAGATGGTCCCCGGACTCTGTGAATAGGCGGCTCCGTCTGCGTTCCCCAGGGTAGAGTTGTTTTTGTTTGTGTGTTTTTACGTGAGTCACGTGTCCTTACAAAAACACGGAGCAGGAAGAAGGCAGGGCCTGTGCCAGGTCTTGCTCCAGTCCCGGGGCTGGCTGCCTGGGGACGGGCTGTGGCTGGGGCGGGAAGCAGGCCAGGTCGGTCTCGGACCGTCCGTCGTCGTGTCCTGGCCCTCCTCATCTGGGGAGAGCTTTGTGGCATTCGGGTGCTGTGTGCCATGGGAGACCCGTGGGCGGTGCGTGGGGCGGCCGCGGGAGCCCTGGGTGATGGGAAAGGGGACGCCGCTGAGGACGGGGCGGGTGGTTGCCGATGCCAACGGCCAGCCCGTGCGTCGCCAGCGCTGACCTTTTCCAGAGGTCACGCCATCCTCCACGGCTGGATTGGGGCCTTGGAATCGTGACCCGAAAGAAGAAAAGCTCATTTTACCGTAAAGACAGCAAGCGACACTTTTTTTTTCCTGGAGGGGAAATAATCGCACTCTTGGGCACTTTAAGGAATTTTTCCAAAGCAGCCAGCTGGCGGACTCACGCCACACGCCCCCATCTCTTCTCTGTGCTTCTGCGACCGACGCTGTGGTCTCCTCCCAGCGGTCACACGGTCCCTGGGCGTGGGGCAGGGCCGGTGACGTAACGTGACTAATATGAAGTGACGGCCGGCTCCTCGCCCGGGGCTCCGAGGCATGTGACCCCGTGTGCCCCAGCCAGCGCCCGCGTGTTCCCCAGAAATCACGGGCTATTCCGGGCCTCGTTCGGGCTGAGCTCTCCCAAGTACTTCCCGGCGAATTACACGCGGAGGCTTAAGTAACCTGACTGGCAGGTCACACAGGATGTGAGGTGGGATCCCCCCCTGGCTCCCGGGGGGCTAATTTCTATGCTTCGTTGAAGGGGATCTGAGCGTGTCGACGGGACCAAGTGCCACTTGGATCCATGAGCCGTGTCTGCATTCCTTGTAGCTTTACGTGGACTGGCCCCTTCCCTTTTAAGCTCCCCTCCCCTCCCCCCTCCAAACAAAAAGACTTTTTGTATATGTTTAGTTTTATTTTCTCTGTAACCACTTCTCTGCTCACAGTTCCTCTTTCCTGTCTCCAGGGTAGCGTGAACGTTTTGAGTCCAGCCTAGTAACACTGAAATGAATGTGTCGCCATGAACAGCTGTCTGAGATGATAAAAATTCCCCTACAAATCGCTGACTCAGTAGTCACGCCAGCATGTGGTCTAGGACCCGTGTCCAGTTCTGATGTGGGAGGGAGAAGGTTTACTTAGAATTTAGAATTTCAGTTTGAGGTGGTGCCACTGTTTGATTGCAGTTGGCAGATTAATTTCCAACACTGTGAACAATCCGGGCCCAAGTATCGGTTCAGGAGACTTGGACCTGCGTAAGGCTGCTTGTGTGCGGTTCATCACTGCGGTCCGGGCCTCCGTGAGGAGCCGCGTTTGGTATTGAGAAAGGAGTTTGTCACGTGGATCAGAATTCCAGCTGTTCCCGGAGCAGAGACAGCCCAGCTTTTCCAGACCCTGTCACGCGAGACGGCAGCCTGACCGGCCCTGGCATGAGCCCAGCCCGGCCTTTCGCTCCTGAGTTCCAAGGGTTCATGAAGGGAAGTTGGCTGGAAGCGACTCGGGGAGAGTGGAGACGTGAGAGACGTGAAAATCCACGCGGCAAGGGAAGCCGTGGGCCTGCGCCCACGTGTACGGTCCAGCGCTTTGGGCTCCGTGTGAGCATGCACCCCAGACACCCCCTCTTCTTCCCCTGGGGCCGGTGTTTGCCCGGGTCCAGGAATCGGGTTGGAGTTTCCCGGGACTCCCTCTCCTGTCGGAGCCTCGCGGGCCACAGAGAGCCTTCCTCCCCCAGACAGGCTCAGCGTCAGCCTGCAACTTCCTCCTTGCTCCAGATTCCCCGGGCACAGCGGTGCCGCGGTGGTGAGGCCGCGGTGGTGAGCGGGAGGTCTGCATGCGGCCTGCGTGTTGAAGCAGCCGCCAGGTGTCCCACGCAGGTGTCCAGAGGCTGTTCTGAGACTGTCTCCGGGGTTTGCTGGGTGGAAGTGTAATTAGAGGCGCAGTCTGGCCTGTGTGGTGATGGGGGGTGGGGGTGCTTTCTTATAGGGCCCTGAATGGGCTATAAACGTGTTGATGGTGCTGTGATGACAACAGTAATTATATAAATATGCAGATTTTTATATTTAATTTGATTTTTTCCATCACCATTTAGCCTCTTGACCCTATACCCTCCTCCTAAATATATTTTTTAACATATAAAACCACTACGTCTCAGCCGGTGTGGCTCAGCCTCCTAGGAACCAGGAGGTCACGGTTCAGTTCCTGGTGAGGGCACAGGCCCGGGTTGCGGGCTCCATCTCCAGTGGGGGGCGTGCAGGAGGCAGCTGACCCATGATTCTCTCTCATCACTGATGTTTCTCTCCCCCCCTTTTCCTCTGAAATAAAAAATGTTAAAAAACAAACAACAAAAACCCCGACTGTGTATGTTTTTCATCCTTGAAGATCACCGCGCAGCTTTACGCCTGTTTCGTTGCCTTCAGGTTAAAGACCGCGGCCCGGAAGCCACGCGCCGGTTCTTCAACTGGTTCTACTGGAGCATCAACCTGGGGGCCCTCCTCTCGCTGGGCGGCGTGGCCTACATCCAGCAGAACGTGGGCTTCGTGAGCGGCTACGCCATCCCCACCGTCTGCATCGGCGTCGCCTTCCTCACCTTCCTCTGCGGCCTGAGCGTCTTCGTCACCAAGCCCCCCGACGGCAGCGCCTTCACCGACGTGTTCAAGGTCCTGGCGTACTGGTGCCGCCCCCAGCAGCGACCTGCGGACCGCGGTCCCGGCGGGTGAGGGCGCGGTCTCCGTCCAGCCCCAGTTTGCCAGGAGCGTCGGGTCGGTCCCTGTAGCTGAAACGCCTGCTTGCGTCTGCGGGTGCTGAGCAGGCGCTGGGTGGGGGCCGCCGTGTCTCGTGTCCTTAACCTCCAGTCCGCGCGGGCGCTGGGCGGGGTGCCCCTCCGTCCTGAAGACAGACCTCGGCCTGACTGGAGCCGGGCTGTTCATGTTACCTCGTGAGCTTCCTGGTTGACGCACGGAGGCTCCGCCTGCTCGGTCACGTCGAAGTGATAACGGAGACGGGCGGGAGACAGGCGTGCTCTGCACGTTTCTCTTCTGATAAGGAGCTTGGAGTCATTTGAGTGGGAGATCAGGCCGTGGCTCACTTTGTGGGCGCCTCCCTGTGCCCACAGAAAGCAGCCCCTGCGTGGGGGGGCACGGGCCATGATCCCGAGCTCCTTGCGGGGCTCGGCCGGAGGTGGACTCCAGAAAAGAGGTGCAGGGCTTCCCCGTGCAGCCTCACAAGTCCACGTGCTGGGGAAGGTGGGCCCGACAGCCAGGCACCTGCACGCGGTCTGTAAGTCCAGGCCGTACCCAAGGAGAGACTCAGAATGTCCTCCCTCGTCGTTTGCTGGCGTATGAGGCACCGTAGGGAGCCGGTCCCTCTGGGTGCACAGTGCCGGGACGTGCGGCACCACAGTGCGGTCAGGCCTAGGATGTGTCATCGCCCAGAGAAGGACAGGCCTCCTTGATGGGGTCAGTCCCCGGGCCGGAGGTGACCCTCGGGCACTCTGCAGCCACCCCACGCCTGCCTCCTCGGCTTGTCTGCATGTCTGATTCTGTCCTGGGAGCCGGGATACGCCCGTCCCAGCTCCCGCTGCCTGTGGGGGTTCCCGCTGCTCCTGGCCGACCCGCAGGCCTAGTCAGGGCCACATCCAGTTCCCAGTTCCGATCCCAGAACAGGACCACGCGGAGGTTCTACAGAGGCAGCGGCTCTGCCCGGCGCCCCTCCCCTCTGGGTGCTCCCGCAGGGCCAGGCCCAGCCAGGGTGGCGATTTCACTTCCTGCTGTGGGTGGCAGGCGAGTGCCTTCCCCACGTCCTCTGGAAGGAGCCAGAGTTGGCCTGCCTGCGGGGTGGCTCCTGCAGGCGTCTGGGATTTCCCTTCGCCTGGGAGGCCTCTTTGGCACTTTAGGATGAAAAGGGTCGCCTTGCAGAAAGGTCTAGAGGACCCTCAGACCTCCCTCCTCCCACAGGCCCGGCTCTGCGACCCGGGGCAGGTGATGAGCTGCAGGGGGGGGGGGGGGGGGGCAGGTGAGGCCTGAGCACCCCTTACCTGCTGCCGGTCACCGGCCAGGCAGGTGATCCAGCTGTGCCCTCCGGCTCTCCCTGAATCACGCACGGGGACTGCCTCTATGTAAACAGCGGGTGGACCACCTCTGGGGCCTGGTGTCAAGTCTCCACATTTGATAGATGATCTTAAAAATCCAAACAGCCCGGCAGTTTTCAAATATGAACCCGGCCGGGGAGCTGATGCCATCGCTGCAGCTTCTTCCACGTGGGGGCTCTGGCCACGGGGGACTCTGGCTGGTGTGACGGCCCTGGGCGGGCAGCCGTGGTCGGGGCAGCCCCGTGCCTGTCAGCCCTCTGTCAGCCGCCTCGGGGCTCGGCGATGCTCAGAATAGGGGGGCCTCCGCGGGTGTCCTGTCTGCAGGTGGCACAGTGACGGTTAAGTAAATTCTTCCGCCTCCAGACTTCAGTGTGACCTGGTTCCGGGGGGAGAAAACTAATTCCTTCGTTTTGTTTCCCAAGTGAAGGCAGTGGAGGCTGCCAGCCGCCTTCTAAACACAGTCTGTTTGATTCCTGTAAGATGTCCCGGGGCGGGCCCTTCACGGAGGACACCGTGGAGGACGTGCGGGCCCTGGTCAAGGTCGTGCCCGTGTTCTTGGCTCTGATCCCCTACTGGACGGTGTACTTCCAGGTGGGTGGTGACGGCGCTGCCCTCCCGCGAGGTGCCCGCGCGGCCCTGGCTCACGGCGCCCCCGGGGCCCCAGGTTCCTTTCCTTTGAGTCTCTGGCGTCTGGGAGTCTCCTGTTTAGTTCCCGACTCATTTTTGCTGATTGAAACACTTTGGTTTTTTTTCTAAAGCAACAGCCAGGAATGGGTCCCTTCTGCTGTCCCCGGCCCCCTTTCCTTCGGTTTCTCATGTGGGTGACTTAGTTCAAAGTCGGTCTCGGACCAGTTCAGGATGATCAGCTAGTAGGCTCGTCCGTTGTTTTCAAGCCGGAGGGAGAGGCTGCAGGGTGGCGGGGGCGGGGCTGCGCCCACACCCCTAACGCTGCCGCTTGTCACCCCAGATGCAGACCACGTATGTCCTGCAGAGTCTTCACCTGAGGATCCCAGAAATCCCGAGCCTCACGGCCACAACGAACACGGTGAGCGGGCAGGGACCTGAGGACGGCCTGGGCGGGACACGCGGGCCCTGCCTGTGGCGGACACTGCACAGGTGGTAGCGGTCAGCGAGCCCGAGCGTTCACCCCGAAGGGGCAGCTCGCTGTGTCAGGACGTGCCCGCTGGGGTGTCAGTCACTGTCTAAGCCGAACGTTAATGACGCACGAACGACTGCTCACGGGCTCTCCCTCCCCTGGTGCCCTGAACCGCCAGTGCGGCGCCTCCCGGACCAGGCCTGGCCCCCGGGGGCTGAGCTGGGCCTCTTCCCGGGAGGGCGGACCCTGTAGAGACGCCCCGCACGGCCCCGGGAGGTCGGAGGTCGCCCCAGGCCTCTCGCGGGCGCCCTGACCCAGTCCGCCTCCTCCAGTTCCCGGCCGCCTGGCTCACCATGTTCGACGCGGTGCTCATCCTGCTGCTGATCCCGCTGAAGGACAAGCTGGTGGACCCCGTGCTGCGCCGGCACGGCCTCCTGCCGTCCTCCCTGAAGCGCATCGCCGTGGGCATGTTCTTCGTCATGTGCTCGGCCTTCGCTGCCGGTAAGAGGCCGCCGGCTCGTTTCCGGGCGGAGCCGACGCGGGGACTCGGGCGCGGTGCTGGGCCCGTCGGCTCGGGGTGGGGAGACGGGCGATGGCCGCGTCGGCGCATCTCACAGGTTCAGGGCGGAGTGTGATTCTCCCTGCGGGTTCTGGTCGCGTCCGTGGGGGGCTCCGCGTGCTCCGGGCCCTCTGCACGGTCACGTGGAATTCCACGTGCACTTGCCCGGGAGGAGGGTGTCCGCAGGGAGGGTCCAGGCCCTCCCTCCCCCCCCCCCCCCCCGGCCCCTAGAACAGAAGAAGGGGAAGGACGAGAGCCCAGGGCTCCCGCGCCCCCGATGCAGGGGCTGCCCGCTGGGCACTGTGCTCTCAGCCCTTCCTGCCGGGCGGGCGGGCGGGCGGGCGGCTGCAGTGTCTCCTGTGAGGAGCCGGGTGTTGGGACGCTCAGTGCAGTTGCACTTCTCCTTCATGGCTATTTGAGAACGATTCAGCGGGAAAACAGCCTCGCTTTATACCAAGAGGAGAGACGCTGGTCTCCGGAGTCCACCCTGCAGCCCCGCTGTTCTCAGGAATTCACTGCCCGGCGTGCCCACAGGGGTTTACACCCCCAGCCCCCCCCCCCCCAGGAGCGAGTGGGGTGCTTCATAAGGCTCAGGACATGGGTCCCAGGGTTAGCATCCCCATGTCGGAGCCAGTTGGCGAGGAAACCGGTGATTGACGCGAGGCCGTGTCTGCATGGAGTTTGCACCGTGTGCTCTGTGTGTGATTCTGCTGCCCATCGGGTCCCGGGCACCGAAGGGCCTCGGGTTCAGTTCAGGGTCAGGGCACGTGCCCAGGTTGCGGTTCCGTCCCTGGTAGGGGAGCCTAAGGGAGACAGCTGACCGCCGACTCTCACATCAGTGTCCCCTCACCCCCCCCCCCCCCCCATCAATGAAAACAGGTCCTCAGGTGAGGAGTAAAAATTGCAATAATGTAAAATTAAGTAGACCCTGTGCGCACGCACCTACACACACACACACACACACACACACACACACACACACACACACCCACCCGTGTCGGATGGCGCCGGCCTCCCTAACCAGCGGCGCCTCCAGCACTCGGCCTGCGGGAGGGAGGCCTGTCACCACTGTCCTTCCAGGGATCCTGGAGAGCAAGCGGCTGGACCTCGTGCGGGTGAGGACCGTGAACCAGACCATCGGCAACGTCGTGTACTTCGCCGCCGACCTGCCCATCTGGTGGCAGGTGCCCCAGTACGTGCTCATCGGCATCAGCGAGATATTCGCAAGCATCGCCGGTGAGGCCTGGGGCCATGGGGCCTGGGGCGTGGGCCGTGGGGCCTGGGGCCGGGTCTTGTCCTGAGGATAAAAGCCGTGGTGTCCTCCCTAAGGGGCCGGGGGACAGGGGCAGAGCGTCTGTGTTGGGGCGGCTGTGGTTCAGGGTCCAGCTGAGGAGAGAGCAGCTGCCAGCAGCACGTCCGTGCGGCACTTCCTCCTCCGGGGCCACAGGGAGGGCTTCCTCGGTCGGGCTCGCCAGGCACCGCCTGTGGGTGCGTGGTGCCTGCTCAGACGCCCACAGGGAGGCAGCTGCACCCCATCAACCCCATAAACCTGTCCTCGCAGGCCCGGCTCTTCTGGGGGCCGCCGGGTGGGGCTGCCCAGGGGCAGGGCAGGGCCAGGAGGAGTGACCGCTGGGCCTCGTGCACTGGGGCCCCTCCCCTCCCCTCCCGCTGGGCCTCACAGCCCCCTCCCCCCCCCCCAGGTCTGGAGTTCGCGTACTCGGCCGCGCCCAAGTCCATGCAGAGCGCCGTCATGGGCCTGTTCTTCTTCTTCTCCGGCGTCGGCTCCTTCGTGGGCTCGGGCCTGCTGGCGCTCGTGTCCACCACGGCCATCGGGTGGATGAGCAGCCACACGGACTTGGGTGAGGACGGCGTCCAGGGGCCGGGCGGTGGATGTGGGTGAGGACGGGCGTCCAGGGGCCGGGCGGTGGACGTGGGTGAGGACGGCGTCCAGGGGCCGGGCGGTGGACGTGGGTGAGGACGGCGTCCAGGGGCCGGGTGGTGGGGGCCGTGCAGGACGTCGTCTCCTGTGGCTACTTCCTGGTCCGGGACCCTGGCTGTCCCAGCAGCCGCCTCGCCCACAGCCGGCTGGCACCTGCTGCTCTGTCCATGGGACGTCCAGGCCTTAGACGCCACCTCCACCTCCGTGTCTGCGTCACTCCGGCTTCGCAGTGTCTCTGCCGCGTCCTCATTTCTGCTGTTAAAGGCAGAGGTTATAGTTGCCCTTTGTAAGGAACAAGCTCCATCACCATCAGCTGGACCAGCAGGTGGCGCCGGGGGTTAAACAGACTCAGAGGAGAGGCGGCTGCTCCCGCGCCCCCCCCCCCCCCCCCTCGCTTTCCCGAGGGCTGGGAGCGGGCTTTCTGCGCTGGCCCCGTGCTCTGTGGGGTCTGAGAGAGAGAGAGAGGGTGCCCCCTGCAGGACAGGCCCGGCCTCAGACCAGCGCCGCGCACACCAGGTCCTGGGCTCACTGCCCGACTCCTGTGCAGGGAGCTGACAAGGAGACTGGCTGCCCGTTGGGGGAGGGGGTGACCAGGCCGGGCTTTCTCCAGTCCCAGCGGGTCCCTCTCAGCGGCTCTGGGCCGGCCTGGTCTTCCAGGGAGGACAGACAGGCCTGCGTGTGGGGCTCGCGTGCAGGTGTGGGGGACGCACACAGCTCAGGGGCTGGGCAGCAGGGCCCACAGACGCCGGGGCCTGGGTGCGGACGGGTGGCTCCGGTGCCCTCGCCGGTTCTGAGGAGGAGGCCGTGTGTCCAGATGGCGGACGGGTGACCCTTCGCCTCTGTGGCCACAGGAGAAAGGGCCGACCTAGGCAGGGACCCCCTGAAACAGATAAGACCCTGCGGCCGTCCCGGGCGCAGCTCACGCCTCCTCTGCGTTCCAGGCAACATCAACGGCTGCCACCTCAACTACTACTTCTTCCTCCTGGCCGCCGTCCAGGGCGCCACCCTCCTGCTCTTCCTCCTCGTGTCCGTGAAGTACGACCGGCAGCGCGCGAGGGCGTTGACGCCCGGGACGCCCAGCAGCCGCCGGGCCTGACCCCGAAGTCCCAGCGGGTCCGAGACTGACACTGGGGGAACTGGCCGGAGTGCGGAGCGAGGCAGGCTGTTAACTCCGGGAACGTCCGCCCCCTGACCCGATGGTGTCCTCCTGCCTGGCGGACGGGCAAGTGCCTTCCTGTGGCTCACCTGCTCACGGGGCCTCTGGAGCCGAAGCGCAGGGGCCTCCTCGTCAGGAGAGACGCCCCCCCTGCAGCCGCCGTGCCAGGCCCACGCGAGGTGCACGGCCGAGGCCACGTGTCTGCTGCCTCTTCGTGGTTTACACACGTGTGAGCTTGTGATGTGACTGTTTTCCTCCTGATTAATGAGCACCCACTCGTGGTGGAGGGCGGAGGGTTCAGGTGACGGTGGTCGGTGGTCAGACGCGTGGGACTCACCGGGTCTGGGTCGTGGTCTCACCAGCCACTCCTCTTGCCTCCGGCACAGCCGGCACCGAGTACGTTTATCTGCTGCTTCAAACATCCTTCTTTTGTAAACTGTTGACATTGCTTTTTCTTTTAATGAAGAAGGTGAGTCAGGAAATCGTTAAGCCCGTGTGTCCCGTCTCAGCTGCGAACGGCTGAGTGTTTGAAGCTGCGCGGAGCGTCCTGTGTGGCGTTCGGTGCCACGGGGCGGAGGGCCCGTCGCGGGGCCGGAAGGAGCCCGTTCTTTTGAACAAAATCCATGTAATTAAGAGCCGTGGACAGTTTACCTGTGAACCTGACCGTGGGGTCACTGCGTTTGTATATTATTTTACATGCCTCTGGGTCTGACTTTGTTAAGTAAACTCTTCCTTTGTTGCTGGACTTTTGGTAAAAGCTTGTTATTAAAACGCCTTCAACCTGAGGCCCACAACCTGGTCTCTGCATGGTTTTTCTGCAGCCCCGCCCACTGGCATTTCCCGTGGGTGTCCCAGGCCCTGAACCGGGACTTCAGGGCCAACCTTTCCCAGCGGCACAAGAGTGAGTCCCGAAATGACGCCCACTCAAAACACTGCTCGCGGCTGAATTCTCGGCCACACGAAAGCGATGACCTTCCCTGTCACCCAGGGTCCCACTTGGTGCCAACCAGCCCGTCCCCGGGAACCAGAGCCCTAGGAGGGGCCGGGCCAGGACAGCCCGCAGACTCCCGGTATTAAAGCAGGTCGGCGAGGGGCCCTCCACTCGCATCGCGGCATTTGAGTCGCTGTTTTAAAATGCTCATGTGAACACCGTGGGACACGGGGCCTTCGGAGCAGTGAGTGCATAAACCTGGCTGTTGGACTAGAGCAGCAAATACACGAAAAGTCACCCGTACAGCCCGGCCGGCGTGGCTCAGGGCTGAGCATCGACCTAGGAACCAGGAGGTCAGGGTTCGATTCTGGGTCAGGGCACAGGCCTGGGTTGCGGGCTCCATCCCCAGTCAGGGGCGTGCAGGAGGCAGCTGGTCCATGATTCTCTCTCATCATTGATGTTTTTTCTCCCTTCCTCTCTGACATCAATAAAAATATTACAAAGAAAAAGGAGGCAGATATTTTTAAGAAGAAAAAGTCATAAATACAAAGAAAGTGAAGGGAAGAGCCATGTGTTCGAGGCTGCCCAGCCGAGCGGGAAACCAGCGTTCTCTCCTGGGGGAACATGGGCCCGTGCCTCCGTCCATCTGGTCTACCTCGTGCTCCAAACCGGCCCCGCAGGTGAGGGGTCAGGCTGGCCTGGTGGGACGTGACTCTATGTCACAGGCTCCCAGGGGGCACGGACAGGGCAGGGCCGCCTTTCCAGCGCCCGATTCTCTAGGGGCCCCGGGACCTGGTGAGGCAGCCCCGCTGAAGAGGCTGCCGACCACGGCATGTTCCAGAAAGACACCCCCCATCCCCTCGACCGCTGGGATGCCGGGGGTGGGGGTGGGGGTGGGCAGGCCGCCAGGGCCTTTCATGGTGGAGTCTCCGCGTCTGTCCCCACCTCCTCCCTCAGGGTCAGCCAGGGCCTCAGCTGGGCCAGGATCTTCATCCTCTTTGGAGCCTTCGAGTCACCGCTCAGCCTCCAGTGAGGCCAGACCCTCCCGACTTCCCTGGGCACGTCCTCGACCCACACACGAGAGGCAAGTGCCCTCGACCGGGACTCGAACCTGCCACCTTTTGGCGCCCAGACCGGCGCTCTGTCCACTGAGCCAAACCGGCGAGGGCTCCGTTTCTTTCTTTCTTTTTTTTTTTGTTAATCCTCACCTGAGAATATTTTTCCTATTGATTTTTAAAGGGAGTGGAAGGGATGGAGGGAGGAGGAGAGAGGGAGAAACATCGATGTGAGAGAGACACATCGATCGGCTGCCCCCAGCACACACCTCAACTGGGGCCAGGGTGCGAACCTGCAACTGGGGTACGTACCCGTGACCGGGACTCGAACCTGCGACCCTTTGGTGCCCAGGCCGGCACCCTAACCACTGAGCCACGCCGACCAGGGCTGAGGGGACTCGCACGACATCTCCCTGGGGCCCTGGCAGTGCACACCCACGTGTGTGTGAAGGCTGACAGCCTTCAGCCAGAGGACAAGGGGCTGGAAGAGAGAGAGAGAGCCCGTGGCTGACTGGCCTCAGCCAGCAAAGCCCCGAGGCTGGGAGGGCACAGGACCCTCCGTCCAGGATCCGCGACGCTGCCCCCCCGCCACACACACACAGAGACACCTGCCCCCCACTGTCCTGGGTCAGGGAGGAAGGCCCAGCCCTGTCCCCAGGGGGCGTGACCCCTGCAGGGCCCCCTGACCAGCACACCATGGAGAAGGACAGCTGGTGACCACTAGACGTTACCAAGGCGTCGTGGGCTGACGAACGGGCTTTCTCACTGGGACGAACCTCTCAGCTCTACGTAACAGCTTCTTTTCCAGCAGCTGTTTCCCAAAACGTAAACACCCTGGGCTGCGAGCATGAAGGGAAGAATGTTCAATCCTCGATCGCAATGAGAAAGCATGTCCTCCCCGGCGCCCAGTCCTTCACGTGCCTGAGCAGCGTCCGCGGCGAATTGCTTCTGGTGCACGGACTCCTCAGGGCTCTCCAGAGACACGGAGCCAGTGAACAGTGTGATGTTCGCATTTACATTCCTGTTCATACTTGTGTCTGCAATGAGGGCGTGGCTCACCTGACGTGGAAGCCGGAGGCTCTGAGGGTGGATGGGGTGAGTTCTCCACGGAGTCTGGAGGCCTGAGCACGGAGGCCAGTGGGCTGAGCAGCACCCTGAGGGCGGGAGAATGCAGATGTTTCAGCTCATCAGTCAGGGAGGGGGGGAGGGGGGTGGGAGACAGAGAGAGAGAGAGAGAGAGAGAGAGAGAGAGAGAGAGAGAGAGAATTCTCCCCCTACTTTTTTAATTCTGTTCAGACCCTCACCTGATTAGACAAGGCCCACCCACAGGGGAAAGCATCTGCTTCCCTCCGTCCACTGACCCCCAGAAACACCCTCACGGACACCCCGGGAACGCTGCTGGACCAGGCCCCTGGGCTCCCTCGGCTCCGACCCCTCAGGTCGGCGTCTGGCTCATATCCGCACGCTCCCTTAGTCTCCGAGTCACGGCCACCAGCACCGCGAGGCCACGTCGTTTTCCCGGAGGGTCCATTTTTAATTATAATCCGAGCTCCGAACCCAGGCCGCCCGCTCCGGGATGTCTTCATGACGCTTTAAAACAGGGAAACGGGTCATCAAACACCCAGTTCAAACGGTTTCACGGCGACGAATGGCCTGGGGGCTCCGTCCGGAAGACCTTTCTTTGGCAAATATTTTTGGGACGTAAAGCTTATCAGATAAATGGCCTCGACTTCGGGTTTCTTTCAATATATATCTTAACTTCAGATCCTGCAAAACTGTGAGCTTTCTCCAGGTTGCTCCCTCCATCCTGACACGGAATATACTAGTAAACACAGCCACTTAACCTAGAAACTCTCCCCCGAGGACCCCCCCCCCCCCCAGGTCAGGGGCTTGCAGGGTTTGCATCAGCTCTGCCAGCCTGTCTCTTGCTGTGGCTCTGCGCCGTCCCCCACGATTCTGCAGAAATAAACGTCAGTGCTCTGCCCGAGGCTCTCCATTTGCTAAAAGCTTTAAGAGCAGAGCTCTGCGATGCCCCATTGTTTGAATCCTCTGATGGGAAGGTTCCTTTTCGATTGATCGGGGACACAATGCAACGTGCATCTGAAGGTTTTACAAAACAGCTCAATACCGGGCCAGGGCACGGAGGCGACGGACAAAGCCGTGCGGCCGAGCCTCCGAGGTTCTGAAGGTGGATTAAATGGCAGCACCGAACAGGCAGTCTGTGCCGCGGGGCGGGCTTGCCTGGCTCAGCTCCCCTCGCCGAGATGGGAGGAGGCCCCGTATGATGAGTGTGTGGAAATGCACCTCAGCGTTTACCACGGGAGCTTTGTATCAGTTATTCGTGCTGCGTGACAACACACCCCAAACAGAGCCACTTAAAAACACAGTTTCCACCCGGCTGGTGTGGCTCAGGGGTTGAGCATCCACCTACGAACCAGGAGGTCATGGTTCGATTCCCGGGCAGGGCACAGGCCCTGGTTGCGGGCTTGATCCCCAGTAGGGGGCGTGCAGGAGGCAGCCAATCAGCGATTCTCATAATCGATGTTTCTCTCTCTCTCCCCCTTTCTCTATAAAAACCAATAAAAACATATTTTTAAAAAAAGATTTGGGGTCAATTTAACCTTCTCTCTGAAGGACGGTGGGGCTCAGCCGTGCCCTGGAGCCCATGAGAAATGAACTTAGCACATAGTAGGTTGTTTTCCATACACATTAGATACTTCTAAATCTGACCCCAGCCTCACTCTCCGCCCGGCAAACATCCGGAGATCCCCCGTGCACCTTGGGCGGGAAGGCAGCTCCTGCCTGTGACAGTCACACCTCACCTCCCGCCTGGAATTCCTTCGCTCACCAAGTGCGCCCGCGCCTCCCCCCACGCGGGAGTCCTCGAGCTTCTGTTTGTCAGCGAAGCACTCAGCGAGCTGCAGCTTCTGAGGACAGCCGCGGGGTCCTCCCCCCTCCCCCCCAACCCCGTAATCATTTCCTCGATGCTCTGTGATCCTTAATTACCTCGCCATCGATCTCTCTGCCTGGGAGCATCTGGCTGCTCCGGGGACGCCGCGGCTGATGGAAAATCCAATCGGGCTCGCACATCCCCCAGCCCCGGGCCACTCACAGGTACGACAGTGGCTGCCAGGCGCTCCCCTTACAGCCCAGCGTCTGGGAGCCTCTGCTCAAAGTGGCGACGTGCTGAGTGCTGAGCACGGCACGTGTCTGCCAGGGCCCACGGGAGACGGGGTGGGGCTCCCCGTGGGGAAGGCGGGCTGGGTGTTTTTAGCCTCAACAAGTGCAGCAGGGGAACCAAGTCAGTTCTCGCCGCCTCCCTCAGCCACATCAGAATTACAACTAATGCACAGAGCCACCCTCACTCAGAACCGACTGAGAGTTGGCTGAATGGGTGTCCTACAGCTCGAGAGGCGAGTGAGAAAGCACATGGGGGCTGAGGGAGGGGCGGAGGCACCGCACGGGCTGGTCGGGCACCCCCCGGGGCCGCCTTTTCATTTTAAATATATTTTTATTGATGCCAGAGAGGAAGGGAGAGGGAGAGGGAGAGAGAGACATCCATGATGAGAGAGAGTCATGGATCGGCTGCCTCCCGCACGCCCCCCACTGGGGATGGAGCCCGCAACCCGGGCCTGTGGCCTTTGACCGGATTCGAACCCGGGACCCTTCGGTCCGCAGGCCGACGCTCTATGCACTGAGCCACACCGGCCGGGGCCCGACAAGCCTGCCATTGTCCTTGACGGAAGGAAAAAAAACCCAGCTAAAACATCCACACACTCTCCGTCGCCTCAAACCAAACTGCTTTATA